AGATCACATAAATAAATATATCAATTATCTATGCCGAGGTTTATAGAAAGTCGGTCTTTCGAGCTTCAGTAACATTTAGAAAAAGACGAAAAACTCGATGGTAATTACATGATCAACAGCTTCTCGAAAAACTCACCGATTTTTTTTTCGCGACTTCCAATGAGGAAGTTTAGAACAGCTGATTATAGTCGCATATGGTTGATGACTGCACCTCCCCACATCAGAAATTGATGCCAACATACGGGGTCAGGTCGTGTATGACTTCTAGACATTCAACCCTCCTTGCTTGGATCAATTTCTGATGTGGGGTGGTGCAGTCATCAGCCATGTGCGACTATAATCAACTGTTCTAAACTACCTCATTAGAAGTCACGTAAAAAGCGGTGAGTTTTTCGAGAGGTTGTTGATCATGTAATTGCCATAGAGTTTTTCGTCTTTGTCTAAGTGTTATTGAAGCATTTGGCCTAGCAGATTGTATATCAGTGTACTCTTCCCCCTTCCAGGCTCTGAAGAAGGCGATACTGCCGAGACGTCAGTTAGTGTTGTATTGTATTGTGTTTTTCTATGGAAATAAATGTATGCTGTTTAAAAACCTCGCGATTGCTGAACAAGAAAACGACGCATTCATATTCCAATGCCGATGTTAATAGAAAGTCGATCCTGGGAACTGATTGCATAATGTACCAGCAAAATACTTCCGACCTGTGAAGGAAGCACTGTCGCCGAGACAAAAGATTGAGGATCACAAAGATCATCAGCTCTGAGAAAGACGAAGACGTCGAAACGTTAGCCGAAAATAAACATCATTATCAACCTCGTGTAAGCTCATCAAAGAAAGAATACATATTGATTAGTGATACCGAGGTTCAGGGAAAGTCGGTTTCGAAATATTACTACGCTTTGTGCTAGCTGATAACAACACCGACTTCTGCACGATGTGCGCAATGATGTATGTCCGGAAGAAAAACAAGTTGTTATCACCGGACATTATCATTATATCGACCATCAGCATCGTGTATAAAAGGGCATCACTGAGTAAGGATGCCTCATTCGAGGAGATGGCTCACTGAGGAAGACCTAACTCGACACGAAGGTGAAGCTGCCACGTCGAGGCGAATAACAAGCGAGGACCATCGACTCGGATCGTCGGCTCTGAGGAAGACGAAGACGTCGAAACGTTAGCCGAAAATAAACATCATTATCAACCTCGGGTAAGGTCATCAAAGAAAGAATACATATTGATTAGTGATACCAAGGTTCAGGGAAAGTCGGTTTCGAAATATTACAAAAGATTGTAACTGCCACGACCGACTTTCCATTAACCTCGGCATTGATCAAGTAATTTTCTTCGTATTTTTGTTGAGCAGCCGCTTCCTATGAGGTTTCCACTAAGTACTTATACTAAGGCTCTGAGGAAGGCGAAATCCGCCGAAACGTCAGCTTAATCGTGAACAAAGAATAATAACACCTCGCGTTTGCTCAACAAAAATACGAACAAAAGATTGTCTTAGCTAGACAGCAAATCAACTTTCTCCGCCGCTGCTTTCAACATCGAGCCGTGCCGAAGATTTTAAAACGAAAGCGGCTCCGCGAGATATGCGGTCAACCATAGGACAGCCAACAAGTACGAGGCATCGAAATGGAACTACTTCGAGCTGCACTACGAAGCAAGCAGATCGAGATGTTTGTCAGAATGAAGAATTGCGCGACGAAGAAACATGCTTGTTCTTTGTATTTGGAAGATCGCCTTTGGACGAGAATAGTTGGTAGGTCAATATTGACATGGGATTTTATTAGGTCTAATGCCAAAATAACCTTACAACGAAACATGCCTCAGCTTCAAGAAACAACCGCAAACAAATTCTTTACGCTTCTGATAGTAGTCAAAATGAGGATGATAATGCACCAATAATATCTAGGGTCACCGCACTTGAAGGCATGACCTTACCTGAGAATGAGCGCTCACTACTAGAATTGGGCCCAAGTTTCTCACCACCACAGTCCATTTCTGAAGGAGCCGTGTGTAGGATCACATGTAGCTTGTATGGACTTCAAGATTCTTCAGATAGCAGGACCCCAATGTCGAAATTGATACAAAGTTTCGCATATTTTCGGACGATGTTCTCAAAACCCTTGTTCACTACCGCAATAGAGAGTATATCTCTAACCTCACAGCAGCGCAAAAATGTGGCATGCGAGAAGTTAGGGAATTAATAAATTCGAAGACCATTAGACTATCAGTTAGTGATAAAAAAGGGTGATAATTCTTTATATTCTTGTTGAGCAAACGCGAGGTGTTATTTTATTCTTTATTCACGAATAAGCTGACGTTTCGGAAGATTTCGCCTTCCTCAAAGCCTGGAAAGGTCAAGTTGACAGCAATCTATTCGGCCAAACACCTCCATAGCCAAACAAAGAAAACGCTAAACCAGGATTTCAATCACATTGTACACAGAAAAACTTCTTTGTGCACTGACCGTTTTCTATGAGGCTTCCACTGAATATGTCGCGTGGAGACCAACCGCACAAAATTCACATGGAAGCGTAATGTGCCCATCCCATCAGAATAACAGGCTTATATACTGCCCAATATCACGCTTGGTAATGAGGCATTCTTCCCTATTGTTCATTTTCGGATTTCTGGAATTAATCCAGAACGCCTCGAGAGTTTTGCGCGCCTGTGTTCTCGATTCCTGTGCGAGGATCGTGACACGTACTTCAAAGTCCTACTCGTTATGTCTCTGGTTCCTATGCGTGCCTAGTGGAGTACTTGGCTTACGTTTGCCGACTAGGTGTTCTTTTATACGTACGCAGAGTGGTCTACCCGTTTCGCCAACGTATTCGTCCCCGCACGCTTTACAAGAGATCAGATAGACTGTACCCGAACTCATGCAGTCAGCGTCTCTACCATTGGGACAAATTATACAATTTTGCGTTGCATATAGACGGTCATATAGACGGTTGCGAACTATCTGGCGTCTTAGATTACTCGGTGGCATTTCAGTTATCATTACCGAATTCCCTAGACCGGCCCTTCTTAAACAACGCTTTATAGCTGCACTTACTTCATTTGAAATGAAGGGCAGTATAAACGACCGCCTCATCGTGACTGGGAGGTGTTACTGGGTGTATAAACGAGACCTTATTGTCGCTAGAGTTATCGTTGGGGTACCTGTGGTTTCCTCTACACCTATCTCGAGCTACAGTTTCGTAGCCATTAAAAGTGGCTATTTGCCAATGATTTGATTGATTTGGTGTTGATTCTGTAGAGAAGAGACTGTTGCTTAAGAAGACGCTACTGCTGTGAACATTGAAGAAGCTAGACGCTGAACATTGAAGTTTGGCACTCACCGAGAGCTCTTCAGTGTGATGTAGCGATAAATTATTTAGGGGGCTTATCTTCATAGTGCTTCAGTCTTCACAAACTATGTATGAATTAGGTAGCGTCCCAATGTGCCTTTATGTCTGCCTGAGGCAGTCGTGGCCATTTTGGCGATTTTGAAAACTTGAATTTCGTTTCTTGCTGAGAATTATGGTTCTAAAGATATTTTAGAATAAAACAACACTGCACGAAATTTATACACATACGATTAACGTCATAAAGCAAGTCTGTTGAAGAAGTTTTTAAAGTCCTCAACCTATGAAGTACTCCAATGATGAAGGAAAAATCAGCGCATCATTTGTTGGAAGACCAGCATCGGACCTCGTGTGTTGGAATCCATTCTTATGTTGAAAGAACACATTAAAGATGATTACATTCACTCTATTTCTTATTCCTCCCAACGGTTTACCGCCTCATCGTGACTGGGAGGTGTTACTGGGTGTCGGCCTGCGATGTACAGCGAGGGGATCCATTCCCCTGGCAGGGTCTCCCGGGCTGGGAAAGAAGTCCGGCGGTTTCATTAAGAAGCCCAGCTGAGAGTAAATCCAGGATATGATGCCAGAATCCACCACCGTCCTGGCATCATATTAATGCATGGTGATAAATCTCCCTCTGATCCACAAGGGCTTCGACTGCCTGTGGTGGTGAAGACCTGGGGCAGACTGACCTCGGGATTCCAGAGAACCACAATGGCTTAGCTAGCAAATCGCCGAAAAATGGAAGCTATGCTGGAGCCTAGTGAGGACGGAGCTTATTTTCCATTGTTCGTTGCGTTTTACAGTTATTAGACTTCACAGTTCGGCCCCTTCTGAATTCTAATGTTTTGTTAACTCTGTCACATTTTTCAAAACAGAAAGACTTAAAACGTCTCTAGTCGATACTGTGCACTTTTGAAGGCAAATCAATATTAAATATCTACTATTGGAATGCAGTGCCGCATAATTTGGCCGGTCAATGCTCTACGTCACTTCAGCGATCACGGGGAAGTGACTGCTGGCAAAAATTTCGTTCTCTGTCTTGGTTTTTGCGTATTCGCAGGAAAGAATTCCTCTTCAGCGTCGAAGGTGTAACTATTCGAAGGCGTTTGATTTGGGTTACACCACTGCAAACATACGAAACAATGCAAACATTCAGGAAGAAAAACACGAGTGAATGACTCAGCTAAGGACAGGAGTCACTTCGTGACAGGAAGTGTGCTTGGCGCTTTCCAAATGATTTTATTTGCTCCCTATCATCAACCATATCTGTTCTAAATCCAAAGAAGTTCTCGCAGATCTTCATCCAAAAACCATGCCTGAAAAGTTCATCTGAATTTGGAAAAAATCTCAGTCAAACGATATGTGAAAATCAATTGAGTCACAAAATGGATACATCACCTTCCAATTCTGAATGAAAACTGCCTCCATTAATTGAACCTCAAGAAATCAAACCGTCCCTGCAATGAGGGTAAGTCAATAACTAGCAAATTCCGAGAAGTCATCGGTAGCCACGGCCGGATCGACTTGAGTGTGGGTGTTACGACAGTGTTGATGGGATGTAGCGCACTCTAGACAAGTGGATACTGCGACAGCGGGAGGAGTGAGCAGCAAATAGACTGACTGCTCCTGTCTTCTGCACTATGTCACCATCGTCGAAGTCCGTACCAATTCCCATACACAGGTACTTGTAGGTTACTCGCCAACACAGGTCGAAATATAGGTGATAGAGTGTTCCTAAGAACAGTACTAGACAAGCTACGTTTTCAGTAGGCTAATCTGCAAGTCTAGGTCAGCATCGCACACTCCATCAATGATGGTCAACGCAAAGAAGTATTTGTCCGATAGACCACAGCTTCTTGATTGTCCGAGGTGTAAAGTGAGTGCAAATTTTTGGGAACCATAACCTTTTACTTTTATTTGCCCTACGCAGTAGTATGAAAAGGTTTCGGCTCAGGTCCCGTTCTTTAGAATATCCAGAATTTAACTATGTACCTCTTCATTAACACCACCCATTCAACATCTGCCCTATGATCTTCTTTTGTGTTGTTCAGATCCATTGTTGCATGACGAGTGCCCGATCAATGTATGAACTAGACAAAGACTTGTTGGCTTTGTTAATTCATCTTTGTGTATAAACGGCCTTCTAATATTCCGTTCACAAGCCGATTTGCGCAAAACTCTTGCTTTGATTCGGTAGAAAGTTCCAGTAGCGAAAAATTTCGTGGAAATTTAGTTTTCAAGTAAGATCCCTTATCCGAAAATCTTTAGCATTTTCCTTTTAAGTTCTGCCTTAGGTTTTGCGAAACGTTGATGTAGAAAATCTTCAATGAGTGCAGAGATCGACTCAAAAAGTTTTCTCGTTGCCATATGAAAACGAATTATTCAGAATATTGCTCAAAAATTTTATAACATTCTATTCTAACATCCCGGTGTGAAACTGTTCAAAGTACTGACAATCGGACGAGGATCGAAATCAATGCTTGGACCACTATAAGTTTAGAAACTAAAAAGCGTTCTTTATATCACCGATCATCAGACATCACGGTGCATATTCGCGCCATCGTCAGTGGCGCTGCTGCAATTTTGGTACTGGGATAAACTGATATCCCTTGTTCTCTTAATTCCTCCAAGCTCACGTCTGTCGAGCGTTGTGTAGACGAGGGGCAAAGGAGCGCGTGTAGTGCAGTGGTCAGAGGCGCCCTGCAATACACATGTGATCGATCCCTTCCTTGAGATCGGCAAATTGGTAGACCTGTCTGGAAGAATACCAGCACTGACTCAATAGATCGTTAGGCCACCGCCAGTCACTATATAGGGCAGATACGCATCCAGTCACTTCTAACTATGCTTAGTGAAGTTGAATGCATGGAGCATCCTTCAGGAATTGACCAAGGAACTGTGAGCTTTATCCTTCATCCTTTACGATAGAATTTCCTGTTCACTCTCGATTATAACCAGATTTTAGTGTGTGCTCAATTCAACGAAACGCTGCAAGCACTGATTGGCTGCCTCGATGCCTTTATTGCCTTTAGCTTAAACGTCTCCTTGATTTCTACGAAGTTTATCTATCGTACTTATATATTTCAGAAACCTTTGCTTTTTAATCTAGAAGAAGACGAAACTTGTAAGATAGCTGTACATCCACCATATGTGTCCATTGGCTTTATTCAATTTCTTAATTGAAAACATCCCTTGGTCAACTTAGGAACCATGGTGAGCAGCCAATAGAAAGCGTTTTTTAAAATCCTGATTTCATATCTGGTTTTCCACTAGTCAGAAAAGAACGTGACCTCTAATATTTGCTCATGGATTACGGTATGGCAAATGTTCGCATTTACACCGATAGTACATGTATTAAGAAGTTTTAACAGTAATGATTTGCATGAATTCAGTACTTCGCGGAGACGACTGCTGATCATCTCTAAATTGGTTTGCTTTTGAAAGCAGATCTGAAAAATCGCCTAGAACACCCAAGTTCGGCTTTTCTACAACCACCACAGCTTTTACTACGACCTCATCTATTGTTGGCATTAATCATGTTTTTCACCTAATTTAATGCTTAAATGGAATTCGAACAACATATAGACAAGGTTCACTACCCATCTTAACCACATGACGTTGCGAATTCCAGAATTTCACATAACTTGAAAAAAAAAGCTCGTTAACACGTCCCTTCTGCTCACGTTGTGCATTCTGTTGCTTATTTCATTTATGCACGTTCTTTCTCAAGCATATATACTTAACAGTCCATTCCATTCATATATAGAAAACCACTAATAGATTTTGCAAATTCCTCGAAGTGAAAGTGTTCAGTGGAAGACATCTCCAGACTGAACCAAAAATGCAGTGCTTGAAAACTACTGCTTACTTTTGTGATTATGCTCATTCTTCAACCGCCATAGATAGAATAGAATATGATATGATAGTGGTGTAATTGCCGACAATCGATTTTCACTCCCTTTTGCTATATTCCAAAATGCGCATGGTGTTCTAGACGGTGGGCGAACTCGGCGAGATGGTACCGCCCTGCCCAACTTTTTTTTTTATATCTATGTGAATATCGTTACAGAATGGTCATATGTTCGTTGTGAAATTTTTATATAGCTCTTGAAGAACCTTTATACAAAGTATGAACGTCCTAGATATCCAGGGCTTCCATAACTGCTTCTATGTCAACTGAGTCAAAAGCCTTTTTTAAATCGATAAAAGTGAGTCAGAGCTCTCTCTTGTACTTTCGAAATACTTAAATGAGTTTTTTCATTTGTGTGGATGTGGTCAATTGTACTGAATCCTTTGCAAAACCCTGCTTGATCTCATGGCAGTCCTTCGTCCAGTGTTCTGTTAATCCTATTTGGGACGACTCGGAAATTTTTTTATACGACAAACAGCAAGAAGATTGGACGACAATTGCCGATGACGTAGAGGTCACCTTCTTGAACAATAACATAGTATTGCTAGTCTTTCACTGAATAGAAGCCTTCCATTCTGACAGATAGCGTGTGAAGAGCAGAGCCAATGTGTTGATGAGGAGTGGTGGGAGGTTCCTAAGGTGTTCAAATTTTATTCTGACCTGAGCTGGTGTTGTTCAATTCATCACTGACGAAATAGCACGCCAGAATTCGGAAGGGAGAATCAGTGGATAACATATAAACCTCCCTTTATTTCATATGAGGGCAGGAGGACGTCGCTATTAAAGAGATCCGAATAGTGATCATGAATGACCTTCTTCAATGTATTTCTGGAAACATAACTTTTCCGTCACGGGGAAGTAGTGCAGCCATCCTGGTTTTTAATTGGCAAAGCTTTGTGGACTATGCGAAGGCCTTTCTCAGCCTCTACAGCTTCGACTATAAGTGCTGTTCTTCTTGCCTTAAGATTTTCTTTTATTGCCTGTCTTCATTGCTTTGCATGTTCGAACGTTAGTCCACGGTTGTTTGTGCTCGTGGGATTCTTCCTGACGTATCAGCTCGAGTGTTTCTGGAGACTGACGTCTCTTGGTGGCTTTCGAACTCTCAGCTTTCATAGCGCTAACGTGAAGATGTTGAATGAGCCGATTGTATTCTTCGTCGATGTTATCGACAGCGGCATCTTCCCATCTTCCCAACAGGAGACTGAAGAACTGAATAAATCCCAGTTTATCATGTTTTGGGAACTCGTCTCTTGAACTTTACGGTTTCCTCTCCTTTTCATGAAAAGTGGAATTGTGGGCGAAAGATGGGATGGTCCGATCTCATGTGAAAATCGGGACAACAGCAACATTGGTTAGGCAAAACCTTCGACTTACTATAATGTGGTCTATTTCATTATGATGGTCCCTATTGGAGTACTGCAAAGTCCAACACTTAGAGTGGGAGATCAGCAATTCCCAGTTTAAATGAATGGTCTAGGTTATCATGATAAACTCAGACATCTGCTCACTCTTCTCGTTCCAGTCTAATCCGTGGGTTCCAATGTGACGTTCTTCTAGGTCCAATCTCAGTGTTAAAACCTCCAATGATGACTTAAAAGAATGTATGGTCTTCTCTGTAGAACTTCACCAAGTCTACACAGGACGCGTCGATTTCCCTTTCGTCTTAGCCTGATGGCGGTGCGCAGATGACGAGAATCGTCAGAACCGATATTGATTCACATCTCTTCAATCGTAAACGTCTGATTCTTGCTGTCAATTGTTCGAATGAATTAGCCAAATTAGTTCATAGCCAAACTCATGTTGACGGCCGACTCTGTGTTGTCGTACGTTCGGAGAAACAGTTCTTTCCCGATATCATGGACTACGTTGAATGGAGCGTCTTTTCGTTTCATCCAGTTCGACAGTGTCTACCAAGTCCTCTATCGAGGACTCAGATGTAAGTCAGCGTGTAAGTACAGATCTAACCAGATTTAGGCAGTCTAGAGTGGCCCTGGAATTTTGGCAGCCACACCGCAGTTATTCCAACCAGCACTGGCGTACTTGAAGCTCTTTCAGGGTCAGGGGTTTAGAGAATGACGCCCACTTATTTTGCTTATATTATATATTTTTTTTCTTATATATTTCTTACTTATATTGAACGTTTTATGTTTAGCGTTTGATACCGACGAATAGCTTGCTCAACTCTTCACGTGGGGTGCTGGGTATACTTACAGGCACCTTGCCAGTCTCTCCCAGAATAGACGGGGAGCTTATTTGCTGTAGGCGAATCTTAACCGTCACCCATGCACATCCCAGTCACTTGATTGGACGATGATTGGTCCCTAGCTGAATTTCATCATAGAATAGAATTACATAAACGAGAATACACCCGTGCACGCATGCATGAACATGTTTACGTAAACACAGATGGTATTTGCTAAATTTGTGCAGCGGAAACAGGAAGTCCATGCTCTAGATCCATCTGCGTCACACGGAAGCACAGGTCACTTTTCGTTTGCGATTAACCATCTATCTGTTACCTGGGGACATGCCACGCTTCCTTGCGACTAACCGGCATGAGAGCATGAGATCCCTTCATAACTTTCGGAGGGAGATCCGGGGTATATATATATATATATATATATATATACATATATATATATATATATATATATAGAGAGAGAGAGAGAAAGAGAGAGAGATAACTGTAAGCAATCCAATCACTTGTCAGGAAAAGTTGAAGGTAGGTGACGAGAACATGATTGAAATGGGCTCAAGATGTGGGCGTTCAGCGGACGTTATCCTAATATGGGAGAGGTATTTGAGCTCAACCTAGTTTCCTTTGCCTTCAACAGGAAACAAATATTGGAATAAAGTGGGAGGGCTTCACGAACCCATATGTACGAGACATTCAATAATTGACTAACGCTATAGTGCTTATTGAATCATAACGACAAATTTTGCATTTTCACGTAATCAGTTATCGTTTTTTCGAACAGTGACAACCTTATTGAACCTTCCATGCAGGTTTACCAGAAGCGCTTTTTGTTATTTCGATTTCCATATAAAAGCGTTCTACGATGAAACCTGTAGTTTTCAAAAGTGCAGTTTCGATATACATTACTGAAACATTGACTTAAATCATTGGGAACCTGTTATCTATTACAGTATTGGAACTGAAGCTACGTCGTATCTCTATATGTGAGATCTTCAGCGTGATGAAAATAAAGAAAAATCCCTGTGCTGTTTCGGAGTGTCCCAATCTTACTGTACTTTTTCTGTTCTGGAGAAACTATCACCAATCAATTTTTACTTCTCGCAAGCGGCATGTGAACAGTCAAAGAAATGTGGCTTGCTAACTTTGCCTATGGTCGAGTACTTTTAGAATCACGGCGAAACAGAGTTGCACTTTGTCAACGGGTTTTTCACCTATGTCGCATTTCTCGTCATCTTAATCGCCGGAATTTTCATCCTACCACTATTCTTCCTATGGGTTGGTTTCCGCCATTTTTTATGCAGACAAGTAGAAAGCCTACTATCTCATATTGCCTGATCATTTCAACATTTTAAATATTATTCAACACTATTACAATACCATAAACTGCGCAGGTCAACGCAACGTCATCACAACAGCAATTGAATGCGCATGCAATTCTAACTATTCTAACAACATTTATATGATCTTATACACTGTTCTTCCTTAGCTGATGCGAGGTTGGTATAGGTCTTCGTTGTTGTTTTTGATGTTATTGATCGATGGCTGACGTTTCGGCGATTTCGCCTTCCTCAGAAACTGGACGTACTTTATATTTGAATACTTTAACTATTTAGTGGAAAAAAGGATAAAGTATTAATGAAGATCAAAGTTTTAAATATATAATGGGATAGGATGCTACGGTCCATTGTAGTTCTACGCCAATATTGAACAGAAAGGCTACACCGTGATATTGCGAGTGGGACTGGCCCACAAGTTCAGGTGGGGTCGCGAGCAAGACATACCCAGGGGTTAAAAAATGATTTTGAAATAGGGCGCCAGGTCACGCGTGATAGCGAGGCATTCGTCTTTCCGGTTCATCTTTGGATTTTTGAAATCTATCCAAAACGCCTCAAGAGTTTTGCGCGTTGATGTTTTTGATTCCTGTGCTAGGATCCGCATAGTCACTTCAAAATCATCGCCGTTGTGCTTTTGTACCCTATGCGTGCCTTGAGGAGTGCTTTTTCGAATTCTAAATTTCCCATCTAGATGTTCCTTTATGCGGACACAAAGTGGTCTACCCGTTTCCCCAATATATTCCTCGCCGCATTCGCCACATGAGATCAAGTATATTATACCTAAACTCATGCAGTCTCCGTCTCTCCCGTTAGGACAGATCATACAGTTTTCTGAGCTGCACAAACGATCATAAAGACGGTTGCGAACTTTTTCTTAAGCACTTTTTGATGGCGTGATTTACTTCATTTGATTATTAATTATTATGTAGCTTGAAAATTATGTAACGATTATTGACATCCCACCCTATACACTACGCCGTCAGTTAGTTCGCAACCGTCTCTATGATCGTTTGTGCAACTCAAAAAACTGTACGATCTGTCCTAACGGGAGAGATGGGGATTGCATGAGTTTAGGTATAATAAACTTGATCTCATGTAACGCATGCGATGAGGAATATATTGGGGAAATGGGTAGACCAATTTGTGTCCTCATAAAGGAAGATCTAGATGGGAAAGTTAAAATTCGAAAAAGCACTCCTCAAGGTACGCATAGGGCACAAAAGCACAACGGCAATGATTTTGAAGTGACTGTGCGAGTCCTAGTGCAGGAATCAAAAGCATCAACGCGCAAAACTCTTGAGGCGTTCTAGATAAATTTCAAAAATCCAAAGATGAACCGGAAAGACGAATGCCTCACTATCACGCGCGACCTAGCGCCCTATTTCAAAATGATATTTTGACCCCGGGGTGTGTCTTGCTCGCGACCCCACCTGAACAACGCGTGGGTCAGTCCCACTCGTAATATCACGGTGTAGCCTTTCAGTTCAATATGGCGTAGAACTACATTTGACCGTAGCATCCTAACCCGCCATCTAATACTTTAGCCTTTTTTTCCACAGAATGATTAAAGTATTCTAATATGAAATACGTCCAGCCCCTAAGGAAGGCGAAATCGCCGAAACGTCTGCCATCGACCAACATCACCAACAACGACAACGACAACGAAGACCTTTGCCAACCTCGCATCAGCCAAAGATTAGTCTACAAGATCATATAAATAAATATATCAACTATCTATGCCGAGGTTTATAGAAAGTCGGTCTTTTGAGTTATTCTAAAAACAACTAAAATACTACAAACCTATAGAAAACTCAAAATCCAAACCCATACAACCGTTATCAACCGTAATCCCATTAATCATCAAAAGACTGGATGGTCACTAATACGTTGTTCGCTTTCCGATTTCGTGCGCATGAATGGCTCTGTCACTCTAGAGATACCATAAGGGTAGGAACGGACAGTCCGTCGATCTTTTCTGAGCGTCTGGGCTACTTATTAGGCTTTAGAGGAGTAGATAATGTTAGTAGCAATAGTGGAAATTAATTTCGCGCGAAATACAAGACTAAATATAACAAAAATTATATGACTAGTTAATTCTTTAGTTGTTGACTGAAAAAACCTACCATTATCTGATTTGTGTTCGAAAAATGCGTACGATAACGACTCAGTGTTGATTCTAACTCTTATTTACTCAGGTTCCATTCTGTGTGGAAACGTTTAAAGATGTCGAACACCACTGTTCCTCCTGTCACGCATGGATCGGTACCTACAGACGTCTCGGAAAAAGCACTTAAACTATCGCTAGCCAGGTTACAATCACAACTCAGTAATCAAATCCCTTTCATCTGAATAGAAAAACATTTTTCGATAGATCAAAAAAGTTTAAGATGAAAAACTGTTTTATTTCGTCATGATACCCGATATTATAACAAGGAAATCAAGAAAATTTTCCACAGATATTTACAGATTTTACTTAGGCATATTTTGTTAATAAAACCTCTCTAACACGTGCTTCGTTTTGAACATTGAAACATTATGCATTCTGAGACTATAGAAATCTGACAAAATAAATCACAAATTAACAGTAGACCTAAAAATGGTTGAAAAGAGGCTTCTATGACCGAACTATGAACTAAGAAGTCAGACCATTTTACAAAACAACGTCCAATTCATGACGCGATATGATCTACACTACCTCGTTACTTACTCCCAACCAGAAGGTAAAGCAATATTACCCATAGTTAACATGAAGAAATATGCTATGATATAAGAAAACAAATTCGTACTGCAGAATAATCAACATAAATCGACCAGGCCCGAATAAAATATGTTAAAACATGGAAGGATACATGAATCGCAGTAAGGCATCGTTAAATGAGTCAACAGTAAGTTAAAATTCCTAAAAGGTATGCATATGGCTGTGAGTAGTTACACCCGATTGAAGCGACCGAGATTTCGTTTGCACGCCGGACAAGAGTGCACTACGTCAAGGCACTGATCCACACAGAACGGTAGGCAACAGAAACACCATGGAATCAAAAACAAGAAGAAACCAAGCAGCACACAAATTCCGCACACTATCCACGGAAGAACACCAGCAACGCGTTCAATATGTGACACTATATGAGCCTAAAAAATTCTCGAATCGTTCACACTGTCTTAGTAGGAATGAAGAGGAATAAAATACGCAGCATTAAAGTGGTCATGGAATAGCGATGGAACTATGGCAAAATGTAAACTTTACCACTTTGTTCTTCAACTGCTTCATAGTACACCAATGTTGTTCATAGAGGGTGATACGTATTACAAGTGGTTATATTTCTATGTTCCGTTTTTTTTCCTATAAGTTTTATAGAGCTACGGATACATCCGACACCCAGTTTTCCCAATTTATCGCAGCCCATTAGTTTCGCATTACGTGTTAATATCAAAGTACGCTCAATTACAAAGATGAAATATCTGCCGATTATCTGAACAGTAACATTTGAAAGGAAGAAAAAGAAAGAGAAAGGCAACGAAAGCGCCTCTATTGGTGTGGTTATATTTACTGCACGTAGCATTAAGGAGAACCATCTCCATACTCGACTATGTAATACTCCTTTTAACACTCAACTTATTGTGATACTATAATGCTTTAGTTCCCAGGATCGACTTTCTCTTAACCTCGGCATTGGAATATGAATGTGTCGCTTTCTTGTTCAGCAATCGCGAGGTTTTGAAACAGCATACATTTACTTCCATAAAAACACAATACAATACAACGCTAGCTGACGTTTCGGCAGTATCGCCTTCTTCAGAGCCGCTTTTTCGTGACTTCCAATGAGGAAGTTTAGAACAGCTGATTATAGTCGCATGTCTAAACTGTTCTAAACTTCCTCATTGGAAGTCACGAAAAAGCGGCTCTGAAGAAGGCGATACTGCCGAGACGTCAGCTAGCGTTGTACTGT